TGTGTCCAAGGGAAGTAAAGCTACAATGATGCATCTTTCTTTCATTTTTGTCTGTTGCAGAATGTGATGGTAACTTTGACTTCACTTCTTTGTCTTTTGCCCTTGGGAGGCACTAGAATACCATAGAAAAAGAAGAGAAAGGAGCTTAGCTTTAAATATGGCAGGCCCAAATAATGTGACACTCACACTGAGAGATAGATAAAACATTCAAAGTGTTCTCTTACTATCCCAATAACAAGTGAAGAAAATAGTCGCCTTCTGAAACTGGGCTCTAAGAGATATCGATCTTTAGAAAATTCCCACAGAGTAAATTTTAGGGGAAAGTGAACTGGAGTGAGCACTTGTCTGGTGCATCAGCCCTACAGGAAACCATGCTGAGCTAAATTAGATTTTAGAGCAAAGCATCAAGCACAGTGTGGGGTGAAGGATGGGCTCGTGGAAGAGGGACAGGTTCACGCCACAGCATCTGCATGGGGCCCTCACCAGCCTGCTCAAGCAAAAACGATATAGCGAGCTCAAAAATACAGGGCCAGAGCCATGCTTGAGCATAGTGTTCTCAATAACGCTATATGAAAGGGAGGCTGTGTTGGATGCGTAGATTACATTTGCAAATTCATATGGTTTTGTAAACCCAGTTGCACATTAGCTCGTTTTCATTATCTGGAAGGCAGCAGGTGTCGGGCTGGTCTGCTCTAGCCACTGTATTTTCTGCTGCAGCCATTTTCTTACCTGTTTCAGTTGGGAAGGTGAAATTACTGCGGAGTAACAAATTCAAAAATGCATTAGTTAGATCTTTATTTCGTCTTTCATTGTTATTCCCTAATGCTTTCTTTTGCAGAGAAGGCTGCTTTCATGCGCACAATGATGTCTCTATCTTCATTAAAAAAGCACTGTATTTCTTTAATTAAGAAAACAGCAGATTGTAAATTTGTCTAAACAGAGCGAAAGTGTGATGATTAGCCTCTTTTCTGCTTTTCTTACTGGATATATTTTGGCATCTTTTAAAACTCTTATTTAAAAATCCAACTTTGTGTATTGTTTTTTAAAAATGACTAAATGCTGTCCTTCACTGAGAGCCAAGGAAGGAAATCTGCTTACAAGAGGGATGTGGAGCTGCTGGAGAGAGTCCAGCGCAGGGCCACAAGGATGATCAGGGGCCTGGAACATCTGCCCTATGAGGAGAGGCTGAGGGAGCTGGGCCTGTTCAGCCTGGAGAAGAGAAGCCTGAGAGGGGATCTAATCAGTGTCTATAAGTACCTCAAGGGAGGGAGTGCAGAGGACGGGGATGGTCTCTTTTCAGTGGTGGCCACTGATAGGACTAGAGGAAATGGCCGGAAACTGAAACATCAAAAATTCCATAGGAACTTAAGGAAAAATTTCTTAACAGTGAGGGTGACAGAGCACTGGAACAGGCTGCCCAGAGAGGTTGTGGAGTCTCCTTCTCTGGAGATCTTCAAAACCCGCTTGGACGCAGTCCTGTGCCACGTGCTCTAGGTGACCCTGTGTGTGCAGGGGGGTTGGACTAGATGATCTCTAGAGGTCCCTTCCAACCCTAAGAATTCTATGATTCTATGATTCTATGATTCTATGATTTAGAGAGTTCCTCTTATAAATATAGTCACTATCAGAAGCAACCTTTTACATCCAGCAATGACATGTTTTCTCTGTTTAGTGAGAAATCCAAATTTCCTTCCCTTAAAGTCTAAAACACTATTGCTGTCACCAGTGATTGTAAAGAATAGTAGTAGTAGTAATAATTTAGGTATGAAATAGCAAAGTAATTCATGAGGTTCATACAAATCCCTACAAATACTCTCAGCTAGGCAGCTTTTTTTTGGGGGGGGGGCGGGGGAGGGGGGGGGTGTTTTCATTAGCTGAAATATAGAAATCACAGCCTGACTGTACATTGGTGTCAGGGAAGATCTGTTGTTGATCCAAAGTTTAAAAATATTATACTGTTTAAACATCTGGAGTCCAGCTAGGCAGATTTTCTTCCTAGAGCTGTTTCCTAGCTGGGGGATATTTTCTTTAAAAAGTGATCTCTTTGAACTTGGGTTAAAAGTACGCCTGTTTTTCTTTCAAAAGACTAATCTGAATCCCTTTTCCTTGCCCCTGTACTTCCAAATTTTAGCCCTTCATATGACCTGCCACTTTGCAATTTGTAGCGTGTCTCCCCAAAGGCTGGCCTGGCTCTCTGCTTTTCTTTGACCTATCACTTCTGATTAAATCTTTCATGTGAGACTTGTGTTTTGGCCGTGACCCTTGTCTTTGTGGCTTTTTCATCCTGCTAAGACTGGAGTATGGAAATCTGGAGGAGGAGGTCAGAGGAAAGCAGGCTTCTGAAAGAGAATAAAGATGAGGAGTTTTGTTCTATTTTGTTTCTTAAAGATTAGAAAAAGCCCGTGTACTGGATTTATGGACTGTTCTGTAACCTTTTGGACAAACATTTAATTAGAAGCAGAAAAAGAAAGTGCACATGCACAGTTAGAAGTTAAAAACTAAGCAAATTTTAGCATATTTGCAGGTCATTTCAATTACCATGTTTTAACAAGGTATCACCTGGTTAGTTTTACTGGCCTTGGTCCAGAGGTGCACACAGCCCGGGACTATGCTTCAGCTGAAGGACTTCGGTTTTCAAAGGAGGGGGATAACTATAAAATGGGGTGCTCTGAAATCATCTGATTTATAGCTATGCCAAATTATAAACAGAAATGAAATAGATCTCTTTTTACTATTTGATGTCTTAGTGTTTATGATGACAAAATGTAAGAAATAAGCAAATAGAATAATAAGGGAAATTCTTGTACTAAAGAAAATTTTAAAGGTTTTTTTAAAGGTTGTTTTAAGCATTGAAAATATATTCTCAGTGAAAAGGGAAAATAATAACCTATTTCAGATTATATATTATCATTTTTCTGAAAAAAAACATATTTTGATGGTTTTATATTGACTGATGCTTTGGGTGTTATTTTAATGACTTCCTGATGATGGAAAGTGAGTAGGAGGACTCTGGAATTTCAACAAAGTTTAGACATTATTTTTTAAAACTGATGTAGTAAAGTATTAGCATGAAGCAACACAGAGTCCTAAATAATCTGTCCTCCTACACTGAAATGAACATTTCTAAAAAAGTAGCTGGTAGAAGGAAAACCCACACATTGTTTAGGAACACTGTTCTAGAGCTCAGCTACCCATGTTAGAAAGACTTTTCTTATTTCTTCTTCTTATTTCTTCTTTTTTATTTCTTCTTCTTGTTTGTCTCCAAACAAGATAAGAACGTGCTCAAGTAGTCAGCATGGATTCACCAAGGGGAAATCATGCTTGACCAACCTGATAGCCTTCTATGATGGAATGACCGACTGGATAGATGAGGGGAGAGTGGTGGATGTCCTCTATCTCGACTTCACCAAGGCTTTTGACACTGTCCCTCACAACATCCTCCTGAGCAAGCTCCGGAAGTGTGGGACAGATGAGTGAGGTGGATTAGGAACTGGCTGGATGGCAGAGCTCAGAGAGTGGTGATCAGCCGTGCAGAGTCTAGTTGGAAGCCTGTAGCTAGCGGGGTCCCCCAGGAGTCAGTCCTTGGTCCAGTCCTGTTCAATTTATTCATCAATGAGCTGGATGAAGGCACAGAGTGCTCCCTCAGCAAGTTTGCTGATGACACCAAACTGGGAGGAGTAGCTGATACCCCAGAGGGCTGCGCTGCCATCCAGAGGGACCTGGACAGACTGGACAACTGGGCGGTAAAAAACCTCATGAAATTCAACACGGCCAAGTGCAAGGTCCTGCACC